TGATAATGTAGATACCATAAAGAAAAAAACACAAACTTTAATTGACGGAAGTAAAGAGGTTGGTCTAGAAGTAAACATGGAGAAAACTAAGTATATGTTGCTGTCTCGTCACCAAAATGAAGGGAAAAATCATGACATAAAGATAGGAAACAGATGTTTTGAAAATGCGGCACAATTCAGATATTTGGGAACGACGATAAATTAAAACCTAATTCAGGAGGAAATTAAGAAGAGATTGAACTCGGGCAGTGCTTGCTATCATCCAGTCCAGAACCTTTTGTCTTCTCATCTACTGTCCAAAAACATAAAAATTAGAATATACAAAACTATAATTTTGCCAGTGGTTCTGTATGGGTGTGAAACTTTGTCTCTGACATTAAGGGAGGAACATAGACTGAGGGTGTTTGAGAACAGGGTGTTGAGGAGAATATCTGGACAGAAGAGAGATGAAGTGACGGGAGGTTGGAGAAAACTGCATAATGAGGAGATTCATAACTTGTATTTTTCTCAAAGTATAATTAGTATGATCAAGTCAAGAAGGATGAGGTGGGCAGGGCATGTAGCACGGATGGGGGAGACGAGGAATGAGTATAGGATGTTGGTGGGAAAGCCAGAAGGAAAGAGACCACTGGGAAGACCAAGGCGTAAGTGGGTGGACAATATTAAAATGGATCTTAGAGAGATAGGATGGGATGGTATGGATTGGACTGATCTGGCTCAGGATAGGGACCAGTGGAGGGCGCTTGTGAACACGGTAATGAACCTTCGGGTTCCATAAAATGCTGGGAAATTCTTGAGTAGCTGCAGAATTGGCGGCTACTCCAGAAGGTATAACTCCATGCATTCATAGCCTCAGCACCAGATGGAGATGAATGGTTAGCTTCAGGGCCTGGCCGCCTTATCGCTGGGTAAAGAGGACGCCAGTGTCCACTGAATAGGAGGATGAGTGGGAAAAGTGTCTACCCCTGCCGGGAATCGAACTCCGATCATCCAGCCCTATCACTCACTGTACTGACTGAGCTATCGTGGACCCTCCTACGAGGAGTATCTCTTGGTGTTCATGTAGGAGGTCGGTATGTCCTGGTGTCACTCCTACATCAAGACTGTTAGTCGCTGAGTCAAGGCTTCTGCACCTGTGACCTTGGAGACTGGGTGTGGACCGTCAACAGGGGGACCAACCCGGCCCTGTATATAAAGCCCGCCCTCTCCCGCCGAGCAGCACTTAACACTCGAAGTCCATAGCAACCGGCGCACCATGAAGTTCCTGGTAAGTCGCGTGGTACTGCCACTCCGAAGGGTAAAAGGTAAACAGGTAAAGTTGTCCCTGTGCTTAATTAAATAAGGACTACACCATGAAGACATATGGGGGAGTGGAGGAACAGCTCCACCATTCTCGACCCCGGCACTAGATGGCGGTGAGTGGCCAGCTTCACGCCCCGGCCACTTCACCCCAACGGTACCCACTCGATAGGAGGCTACTACTTGGAAACAAGAGTGGCAAAGTACCGTTTATCTTCCAAGCACGTTCTTTGCTGTTCTTCAGTCTAAAAGCCAGTGGTTACAATGCGTACCATGTACTTTAACACTACATTTTCCCCACTAAATGTATTCATGTGTTCCGTACAGTTCTCATAATTCACAGCGATATTTTCCTACAGAACATTAACCGGTTGGGCTTTGTAATGGAGACACGGTGTGTTTACTTGAACTTTCAAATATTTAGATGAATTATATGTTTCAGACCGCTTATGTGGTCTAGTGGTCAGAGCTTCTGTCCACAGATCCAGAGGCCCCGGGTTCGATTCCCAACGCTAGCACATTTTTCTGAGAAGTAGTGGGTCTGGAACGGGATCCATTCAGCCTCGTGAGGATATTTGAGCAGCTAATTCAAGGAAATAGCGGCTCCGGTCTAGAAAACTGAGATTAACGGCCGTGAGCATCCGTTGCGCTGACCACATGACACCTTCTATCCGCAAAAGTTGGCACCAACTTCGTCGACAAGAGGCGCTCGCTCGTTCGGTATAGTTCGCTTGCGGACTAAAGACCACGGAGTTTCCTTTTTTTTAACTACAGGTTTCAAAGCACCCTGGGTGTCCACGTCCTGCAGACACAACCTCACTGTAAGAAAGCCACCCACACTACAGCTGTTGCACTGTGCACGGTGAGATTGTCTTTGTTGCATTTCGGTAAATATCCACCGTACCGAAGCATCTTTCAAACAGGAGTTGTTGATCTCAATGGGATCTGCATTTTATGTTACGTGAAAATTGTTTGTACGATCAGGGTGTTTGAGAAGAATTCATTAAGTCTGATTTGCACTTTCTGAAAATTGGGAATAAGATCAGGATGGTCCCCCAATACCAAACAGAAGTGTAATTTAGTCGGCAGTTTGTGAGCTGAAATGGATCACACGGACGAAATAAACCTCTGCATTTTGTATTCATTTTATGAGTCTTATTTACGCAAGAAACTCGCTAGGAAAAAAAAATAAGTAAACTTTATTGCACTAAAATTTCAAATTATGAAATATTGCCAATTGTCGTAATATTTGGAAAATTAAGAATATGTTGTGGGTTGGGACGCCGTGAGGTATAGAGACACACCAACGTTTCAGAGGGACATATCGCCTCCATCTTCAGGTTCGAAGAGAAAGCCAAGCAAGAAACCAGAAGAATTAGGCTTGAATTTTATTTTTGCGGTTAGTCGCTGACTTCCCATCGCGGCGGCCCGGGTTCGATCCCGGGTCTGGACAAGTGGGATTTGTGGTGGACAAAGTGGTGTTGGGGCAGGTTTTCTCCGAGTACTTCCCTTTCCCCTGCCAATCTTAATTCCACCAATTGCTCCACAATCACCCTCACCTATCATCTGGGGCTGGTACAATAGGCCAGAAGTGGCCGCAGTACAAGGGACTTAGTCCCACCCCACTAGCAATAAAAATAATAAGCTTGAGTTAATCTTAGAACCTGAAAAGGAGGTGATATGTTCCTGCGAAACATAGGACTCTCTTCGAATTATATGGTATCACAATCCAAAAGACCATCCTATTTAAGATAATTTTAATTTAAAAATAAATTCACGAAGGCAGTAATATAATAATTCATTTTGAAAGTACGTACAAGTAATTAAAATATTAGTTCTGACAAAACAACTATCAATCAACATTCCAATACGCCAATCACTTGCAGAACGGTCGGTCCACAGTAGCATAAACAAATCGACTGAAATAAAAACGAATGAAAAACTTCTCAAATCTGATGCTTAATGGCGTCATACTTCATCGCTGGTCTTCATTAAAAGAAATTAGCTTTAGACCAACATACCTTGAATGTATGAGGGGTAGGACTCCTCGGCCCTTGCACCGCGACCTACAGTGATCTATTGTACGTGAGATTTCAGGTTCTTGTGAATATGAAAATTATTTTCTGGGATATGACACCGTAGAGCTGGCAGAATCTTACCAACATCAAGCAGAGGGTTGCTCCGAGATGTCGGTAACAATCTGTGAGACTACACGAAGTCACATCTGAGGACACACCTTATTCTAAATATGACATACGCTCGAAATTTTCAGTTAGTAGCTAATCTTGTTTGCAATCTCGGGTTAGGGCGCTATGTAATATGCACCGTTTTGTGATTTCCACCTTGAAGATGAACGCAGTCTTGCTCTCCGAAAAGTAAGAAATTCATTACCCAAGAAGATAAACAGAATCAAAAACTCTGAACTGAGGCTTCAAAGCAACGGCCCTCTCGGAATAGAAACAGACGGGAGGTAGATTACAGAATGATCCTTAAGGGCGTAGACTGTATTAAAATGGCAGACTTCTATCAATATTGTATTGAGTCTCTGGCTTCACATTAGGAAACTTCTTTACCGGCTGAATAACACCAAACTTTCCGTTTCAACGAGTTATTTTGTTGTCTTTCGTCACACAGTTCTAAATGTCTGCAAGCATAACCTCCCTGAATGAAATATACCAAATAATAACAAAAATTACGAGGTTTAAACAGTTATCATTTTCTTCTGATATTCCGAAGTGATCAGAAGAAACAGCTTTCTACAGCGCAAATGCGCAAGTTTGTACGCAAACATTGTGGTTGACACCTCGCCCTGGGATCTAGTCGAACAAGTCACATCACTGTCGGCGGCTGGGGAGACGCAGAATTATAGACAGATAAGCAGAGCCAATCTCATATACCGAATACTTCTGTACAGTCTTCTTCAGTTCTCCATTTCTGGTCTGGTTCGTAGGGGAACACAATCGCTTCCATGGTATAAAAGTGATCTACATTAAACAATTGTTTGTTGTTAGGCGACTGTTCCAGTGCATATCTATAAGTGGTCTATGTCACTGCTGTTCCGTTTCTTAGCAACAGTGCATGCATACAGCGATCACCATTGCAACAATTTCACAGTAGTAAATAACAGAATATCGGTCAACACATAAGATTCTCATGCTAAATAAATAACTGTTGCTTCAGGACGGTTTATTTTAAGCAAACGTGGGAAAAGAAAGTGGTATTTCAGTACTGTATGCTGTACAGCTATCCACCCTTCACATAACAAGTGTTATCTCTTTCAGATTGTCCTCTGTGCCACCGTCGCCTGTGCATTTTCAAAGCCTGGAGTCCTTGCCACAGGAGCCATTGGTTATGCTGCCCCGTCAATCGCTGCATCCGCTCTAGCAGCTCCTCTAGCTTACACCGCCCCTGCTGTAGCTTCGCCTCTGGCTTACACCGCCTCTGCAGTGGCCGCCCCTGCTGTAGCTGCGCCTCTGGCTTACGCTGCCCCTGCTGTAGCTGCGCCTCTGGCTTACGGTGCTCCTGCAGTGGCCGCCCCTGCTGTAGCTGCGCCTCTGGCTTACTCTGCCCCTGCTATAGCTGCCCCTGCAGTGGCAGCCCCTGTCTCCGTGAAAACCCAGTATCACGCGCAGGATGTGCTCGGACAGGCGAGTTACGGACACGCCGAGCCTTTCCAGACCCATAATGCAATTCAGGTGAGAACACCGTCATCACATTCTCACGGTAACGGCAGATTCTTGAGTCATCAGTTTCCACGGAGGGTACCGCTGTACTGATTCATGAGCGATGAAACAGCAATGGGATTTCCGAGGGTTGTGCCCTGATACACGTCTCGTATTATTAGATACTGTAAAGCAAGAGGAGTTGGAAGAAAGAACCCTCACCTGTAGGCAGACATAGAACGGGGGGCGGGGTACAAGCGGAGGGCGGTTGGTTTTGAAAAAGTTATTAGCAGTGCCCTAAGGCGTCGTGACTGTTGTTCCCAACAAAGTTATATGTGCGGACAAATCCGTGAGCCGACACTGTAATAACGTATCTTTAATATACGTGGGTCATTCCTCCAGACTTTTCTACTGACTCGGACCGTCTAGCTAGTTCTTACAGCCAACTTCCATCCTTGCTAGTAGCAAAGTAGTAATTTTGCAGCTGTAACTATATGTGTACAAATATATCATCACTGGCAAAACAGCCCTTTTTGAGCCACAGTCTTCCTTAAAAGATTCTGCAAGATCTGAACCCGTTTCCACTTCTTTAGAATTCGTAACAATATTTTTTACAGACTAGCAAGACCAAGAACTGTGTGGATAATATTAAAATGGATCTCAGAGAGATAGAATTGGGTGGTATGGACTAGATTGATCTGGCTCAGGATATGGATCAGTGCAGGGTTCTTGTGAACACGGTAATGAACCTTCGAATTCCATAACATGCTGGGAAGTTCTTGAACAGCTGCACAACTGGCGGCTTCTCAAAAAGGGCTCAGCTCCATGAAGTTAATTTTTTTAAAGAGCGAGGTCGTTAGCCTTGCGACAAACCTCCAACCTGGAGAATTAGGTCTCTGTATTTATATCCCCCAGTGACAGGGTGGCATAATTATACCCCTAGGGACCGGGTTCCCCTTTCGGCTCTTTTCACGGCTCGCAGGGCTACAGTGGAGGTCTTCTAACCCGCCTCCACACGGGGAATATACGTATGTGTATGTGCTATTTCTATGCCCATCTGTGCCACCCTGTCTCTCCCAAGTCGAAGAGAAAATGACAGACTTCAGAGTTTCCTCTTTGGGGAAGGGCGGGGGTCATAGCTCAAGGGGTTAGTCGCTGGCTTCCCACCGCAGCGGCCCGGGTTCTATCCCGGGTCTGGTCAAGTGGGATTTGTGGTGGACAAAGTGGACAATAGGCCAATCAGTGGCCGCAGTGCCGATTGGACCCAGTTGGACTCCACCCCCCCCCCTAAGCGAATTCCTCTTGAGGGAGACAACCCCAGGAAGACTGATAATTTTGGTGCTACGTTCATGGGTTCCAGCCTAAGCCAATTCATGTCCCCATTGGTTCGTTCGTAAGAAAGGCACTGGGATCGTTGCTAGGGTACGGGTATGAGAGTTAGCATATCTGTGTGCCAAACAATTGACAGTTGTAGTATCACTGGGAGATATTTACAGGGTCTTCTGTAGGGCGACGTTCTGTTACGACCGACGGTCAGTCGGTCAGTGTATTTTGGTGTCAATCCCCAATCTGGGGCCAGAGACCAGATTTTTGACAGCTGCGGATTTGTTGATGAGGGGTGCCTTATCTGATGAGAGGACAAGCCTGTCGTTACAACTGCTGCTGGCCTTCACTAGGGCAGTCATTATCGGGTCCGAGTCCCGCGGGAGTCATGACCATATTTTACTGTCTCAGATTCCAGACTCACCAAACCTAGAAGGGCAGGTCCCCGTATTTATATTTCCCAGGAACAAGGTGACCCAGTTATATCCCTGGGCACTGGGTTCCATTTTCGTCGCCTACTAAGAGTCGCAGGGCGACGGTGCAGGTATTCGAACCTACCTCCACATGGACACTGACTCAATCAAAGTAAAAGTCAAAGTTACTTTACACTGGCGACTTACCGCCAATCAGTTCATGTTGGCGTCAAGCCCCTTGACAATCGCGACCAGAGAACTGTTTCGACTAAATCCTTGTAATATCCTCTCTGACGAGATGATGGGTTTATTTCTTATGAATATGCTTGGCCTTTCTACAAGTGTACGTATCGCACATATAGCGTGTTACTGAAAATGTTCCCTTTTTGCACTATAACAAGTCCTTTGTCAATATAGGCTTTGCAAAGCAGATCATGCCTATCTTACTTATCTTATGCTACAACGGCAGTTTAGTCACTTGAACGGTCGTAAGCTTGACCACTGCCAAATTTAATCCTCATATATTTTCTATGTCTGGCTCCGCCTTGTCCTATACTGAGAACATATTCACTCTCATGATTCTGTATGACTTCTGTTTGCTGCCTGCATAGTTTTGTTATATAATCGTATACATACAGAAGGTTGAAAGCCGAAAGCAAATCGAGGACCGGTGTGCACCTTAGAAAATTTCCAGTAGTGCTGAGAACCTTGTTTTGTAGGCTCTGCAATTTTAAGAGGCAGGCGTCTGCCGCTAATTCCCAGGCGGGACAAGCGTAAGTCATTACCGATCTGATCAGTGCCATATTGAGGGTTAGTTTAATGTTGGCGCTTAAACGCTCGCTTTTGAACAGGGAGTAGATTCTAATAAATCTTCTGAAGGCTGTGGCTTCAATCATTCCTATGCGCAGTCTCCATGTAATCCTCTTGTTGAACATTACACCGAGATATCTTACATGACTGACGAAGGGGATATTCCATTTATTCAATGTAAAATGAGCCTAAAGTGGTCTAAGTCTATGTGAAAATTAGACGGCCTGGGTCTTATCTTCATTGATTTTTATGTTCCAGCGCTCAAACCTCGTCTCAATAGCACTGAGACCTCGCTGCAGCTTTCTGAGAACATAACCCTCTTCGCGGTCTGTCGCATATATACAGATGTCATCAGCAAATGTACTAGGTGGAACGGCCCCCAGTGGTATTACGTTCATAGCAAGTTTCATCAAAACCCAGCAACTGTTTCCAGAGTTACTAGAAAGGAAAATACACAGACATGACACTGCATAAGCAGTCTTTCCACACGAAACAATAACATTGTGCTAACAAACCCTGCACAAGGTGTGACAAATCCGTGTCCCCTGTTACAGGACGCCGCTGGCAACAAGATCGGCAGCTTCAGCTACCTGAGTCCAGAAGGCAACGTGTTCAGGACTGACTACGTTGCTGATGCCCTGGGATACCGCGTTGCAAGCAACGCCCTGCCCGTCGGACCCTCCCTGCCCCTTGCTGACACCCCTGAAGTTGCCGCTGCTAAGGCCGCACACCTCGCTGCCAAGGGCGCAACAGTCATTCACCGTGTGAGGCGGCAGATCATTGGGCACACGCCTGCTGCAACCGCCCCTCTGGCCTACGCTGCTGCCCCCGTAGCATATGCTTCCCCTATTGCAGCTATCCGACCTGGCATCCTGACCAACATCGTCAACACACCCGGACACGCCGTCTCCTACCGCGTCGACTAGACTGCACGTCGTCATTTGACCCATCCAATGCTGAACACTGGCTATGACTGAACTTTGTGTGATTGGTGCGTGGATGTTGAGTGTTTTGTGCGCATACAATGTTATTAATCTCTATTTAAACAAATAAAATCACCCAACAAATAAACGCCTGCTCCAGTTCGTATACCCTCTAAAAGTTCGTGATGATGGTATATTAATAGAATTATTGTGTTTCTGGACATTATCCATCGTCCTGTTTTTCTTTAAAACACGCAACGTTTCTGAGTCTGGATTCTGTCTCCGTCTACAGGTGTAACCCACTCACTCAGCTGGTTTCAATCGATATAGCTAGTCCCTATTTCCGACTGCGTAGGTTCCACCTGAAGACGGAGACAGAATCCAGTCTCTGAAATGTTGTGTTTTAAATAAAATAAACAGGACGATGGATAATGTCCAGAAACACAATAACTGTAGTGCTATACCCGTTGAAAATTCAAGGGAAAAGGAGAATTTGACAACTCCCATCTCTAACTGCGGTTTCCACAGATAACCTTTCCATGTGCGCACTCTTTACAGCCCCTGCACGACACTCTGAAATAAAGTGTTCACTGAATACTTAATATGCAGACTACGAGCTTGAAAAGACCTGGAAAAACAGCCTAATACAATAAATAAGATGACAATGGTAATAATCTGGAGGTCCATTTCATCGGCAAACGTCTGAACTGTAATACCGACTGCATTTGGTTTCCATCGAAATAGCATAACAAAGTGACACACTTTACGAAAGCACTGCCCGTTCAGATTAATTACAGTGGAAACCCAATTTAATTTTCGCCAAGTTACGATTCCTTCCCCCTGCCCCTTTAAAACTCCGTGGTTTTAGTCCGCAAGCGAACTATACCGACCGAGCGACCGCCGCTTGTTGGCGAAGTTAGTGCCAACTTTAGCGGATAGAGGGTGTCGCGTGGTCATTGCAACGAATCCCCACGGCCATTAATTTCGGTTTCCTAGACTGAAGCCGCTATTTCCTTGAAATAACTCCTCAATTATCCTCATGAGGCTGAGTGGACCACGTTCGAGACCCACTACTTCTCAGAAAATCTGGTAGCGCCGGAAATCGAACCGGGACCTCTGACCACTAGACCACAGAGGCGGTCTCCGCCCCTTTAATTTTCAATTTTAATGATTCCAAGGCAATGACCATCTCAGTGTTAACTTCCCTCCGTTCAACAACTCTACTCAGTTCAGTGTTCATATCTACCGTTTCGCAGGGAAACCTTCAATGGGGCTTTCGTTGCACACACAAGTTCGTCTGCATACATTACGGGATAACAATTAGTGACGTGTTCTTATCCTTGGCACTGGGTTGGAGGCGAGTCGTTAAGGCCACTAACTACCTACCGGCCTGAAGGGAGCCCGAGGTGCCCGTCAAACCCCAGGGTGGGTCCAGCAGCAAGAAGGCACACGCGTGGTCCTATCAAGCACCTAACACTATAATGAAACGTGACAATATCATACTTCACTAATGAATGTACCGCATCAATTATCTCCGCTCCTCCTCCTCCAATCTTCTTTTCCTCTCCTTCCTCTCTTCTTCTCACCCTCTTCGCCTTCTCCTCCTCCTCCTCTTCTTCAAGCATTGTTTCCACGTTATATGGGTAGATAAACGGACAGTTTCCAGTCCCTTCTTTCTTTTTGGATTTTTTCTCAGTGCCTGTTGAACCATCTCGCTCTGGGTCCTCCCATATATTCCTTTCTTTCCTTTAAACTTTATTTCTAATGTCTTTCTTGACATCACTGTTCTGTCCGCTCTTTTCACACAGCCGAACAACAGTAACCGTTCTTCTTCTAACGACTTGTGAATTCACTTGCTCTCTACAAAATTCATTCCTAATTCAAAAACCTCATTGCTTTTTCCCTTGTACTTTTTTTTATTGCTAGTGGGGTGGGACTAAGTCCCTTGTGCTGCGTCCACTTCTGGCCTATTGTACCAGCCCCAGATGATAGGTGAGGGTGATTGTGGAGCAATTGGTGGAATGAAGATTGGCAGGGGAAACCAAAGTACTCGGAGAAAACCTGCCCCAGCACCACTTTGTCCACCACAAATCCCACTTGACCAAACCCGGGATCGAACCCTGGCCGCCGCGGTGGGAAGCCAGCGACTAACCGCTTGAGCTATGGCGCGGCCCTTCCCTCGTACTTACTTAGGAATTGAATATCCATTGCTTCGAGTTTGCTGTCTCTTCTGTTTGTAAGTGCTGATGTTTCAATCTTACAGGCCAGTGTCGGTTTAGAGACTGCGCTGTTCCTGTTGTACACTTTCTTTAATATCTGGGAATTATCTGGGGCACGCAACTAATTATGAATGTACAGAGAGACAATGATAATTTGGGAACATTAACAAATAAAAATCATTCACAAAGAAAAAATTTAATTTGAGAGGTGTTATCTACCATCCATTTCCGAAACATTTGTCTTGCGCTCTCCCATCTAAAAATCTAAAGACTGAAGCATATAAAATTAACATTTTATCTGATGCTTTGTGTGGGTTCGGAACTGATCTCTTAACCAAGGAGAAAATAGCCTGAAGTTGTTTGAGATCACAGTGCTGAGGAGAATATTTGGACTCAAGAAGGAGGACGGAGACAATTACACTGCGAGAAACTTTATAACTTGTACTCTTCACTTTAATCAGAAATCCTGAATGAAACAGGCCATTCTGAAGACCAAGGCATATAACGGAGGATAACATTGAAAAGGATCTAAGATCTGAGGTTTTCACGGAGGTGACTATGAAGAAAGCAGTCTTCTGGGATGTGGCACCGTGTATATGTGGTGTTAACCGACGTTTCGGAGGAACGTATCGCCTCCATCTTCAGGGTAGAAGGAAAAATAAGAAAATTCGCAAGCGAAGAGGCCGTAAGAACCGGTTCTCACGCCCAGTAGATTCACATCATCAGCAAAGACCAACAGCTGATGTGTCCCATTTAATTTCAGTCCCACCTGGATTTCCTGGACCTTCCTAATGGCATATTCTAAAGCAAAGTTGAAAAGTAGTGGCGATAAAGCATCTCCTTGTTTTAGGCCATTCTGGTTAGGGAAATTATGAGACAGATGTTTACCTATAAGGACTTTACCATACGTTTCGGTTAAACACATTTTAATCAGCCTAACTAGTTTCATCGGTACCCCAAAGTCTATCAGAATATTGTACAATACTTCCCTCCTATCAGAATCATAGGCTTTCTTGAAGTCTACGAATAGCTGATGTACTGTCTCATCGTACTCCAATTTTTTTCTCCAGTATCTGACGAATGTAAGAGATCTCATCTGTAGTTGATCTGTTACATCGAAACCAACACTGATGATCTCCAATAATTTCATCTATGTCTGGGCTTAAGTCCAACTCGCAATTACACTTAATTATAACGCCATCGAAGACCTGCACTTTACAAATCACTAGGCCACACACGCTACTGTTATCAGTCTGTTACTAAGCGTTTCTTGGTAACGGCTTCTAACAGTGGAGATTCTTCAGCTTCCGCGCTTAAGTCCTCTCCGAACGGCGGCTCCCTTCTGACTGAGCATCCTTGCAACTCCAACCGCCAATCAGTTCGTCTTGGTGCCAAGCCCCTTGTGACCCACGACCAAAGATTTTCTTATTCGAACCCTTGCGGTCATAGTCCTTATGTAAAATTCTGTATGGCAAGAAGATGGTCTTGTCTCTTATGAATATGCTTGGCTTTCGTCAAGTGTAAATTTCGCACATACGGCGTGTTCTTGAATATTCTTCCTTCCGCACTATATCCAAATCCTCTGACAGTACAGGCTTTGCACGGCAGATCACGCGTATCTTAATTATCTTATGCTACAACGGCAGCTTAGTCGCTTGAACGGTCGTAAGCTTGACCACCGCCAAGTTTATGTTTATGTGTGTAAGGGGTGAGCCATAAAATCCGGTCCTCGCACTGCGACCTTCAATGATCTATTGTGCTACCCCTTTGGATTTACCCTTTATTAATCCTACGCTTCGAATGAAATGTAGGCCTTTAGTTATGGGGACCGACAAGCTTAAGCCTCTTATATTATAGCAAGTTCTAACCTTGTCCCTTGCTTAAAACATCTAGGCACGGGCGACACAGAAAACACCGTTCCTCTGCTGCATGCGTATCCGTTGCAGCGGAAACGTGCTAACAGAGCCGTTCCCTAGCACCGGCTGTCTATCCCTACTTATTAAGAATCTGCCACCTAGCACCGGACGTTGTTCCATTGTTTGTTTCGCGGTCGCTGTCTATAAGCGAAATGTTGTTTCAGAGCCGTTCGCTAGCAATGGCTGTTTCTCTGGCTCCACAGTTCTTCCTTTGTGCTATATGACACAATATTCTTATTGGAATTAAAATTCAGTTATGTGTAAAAAGGTATATATTCTTTTCTCCTGTTGCTTTGTACTGTCGTGTCTCTTTTTGCTTTGTGTTACCAGAATTTTCGGTGGTGTTCGCCAACGTGCGTTCTTGATTTTCGTGGGATTCTGCGTGTAAGAAACGCGCACAGCGAGTCAGATTCGGACACGCGGCCGACCGGTCAGCCATTAATTGGTTCAGCAGGAACCGCCTTGCGTGCCGCCGCGACGGAGCGAGTTCAGCTGCTGCCCATGAAGGTCAAGAGAAAGCCGAACTGGTCCACAGCTCCATACCCTCCAGGCGCTCCAGGCTTACCGTGCCACAGCACGGAACCAGCACCACTGACTTCCATTCAAGGGCCAAGCGGCAGGCACTTCTGCTCCATATACCGTGTTCGAATCACAGCGTGGATACTGGCCGTCGTCCGGGGTTTCATTTCTACCCTCCGTGGGGTATTTTACGGCGCTGCTTCAGTATTGAGATTATACAGCGTCGAGTGGTAGGATAACAGACGAATCATAAAAATCCGTGGCCTGTAGTCTGCAAGGGAACTGTACCGACTGAGCGACCGTCGCTTCTCGGCGAAGTTAGTGCCAACTTTAGCGGATAGAGGGTGTCGCGTGGTCAGCGCAACGAATCCCCACGGCCATTAATCTCGGTTATTACTGTTATTACCGGCTACAGGAAATTCAAAAGCACGAATTTCGGGTTGCCTCCAACAGCAGGGGTTCTCTGCGGGATACCTTCCGGCCCGCCGAGC